GCTGACATTAAAATACAGGGAGTATCCCGGATCATCCAGGTAGCTCCAGTGTAATCACTTAAAAGGGGGAGAGGGAGAGAGAGTCGGAGGACAAATAGAATACCGCAGGCTTTGAAGATGTAAGGAAGGGACCATAAGCAAGGAATGTGGGCGGCCTCCCGAGGCTGAAGAAAGGAAGTAAACCGATTCTCCCCAACAGCCTATAGAACGCAGCCCTGCCTATCCCATGATGTTAGCACGGCCAGACCTGTGTAAGATTCTGACTTCCGGAATGGTAACGTAATGAATCTGTGAAGTTTCAAGTCACCCAGCCAGTGGTCATTTGAAACTGACGATACCTCCATCCAGATGCATCACAATTCTACCTGTCCTGCAGGGCCCGATTCAAAAGTCTCTGTAATGCAAAGATCTTTCGGCTCCCACGAGCTCCCTCTCTGCCGGCCACACTGGAGAAGCTTCCCTGCTCCTCTGCACCCACAAAAGTATCTGACGGACGTTAACACGTAAGTCTCGGTCTTAGCCGCTTTCCAGGTACGTGACAATGGAAAAGTCCCTTAACCTCTCTGCACTTGACTTTCGTCATCTACTAAAAACCAATCTGACGAGGCTGTTGTGAGGATTCAGTACAGGAAAGAATATGCACTTCGAAGACTCGTGTCTGGCACACAGTAGGCACTCAGGTCGCATCAGCAATCACCATTAACTTCCTTCTCACCTGTTTGTCAGAGTCGCGGTCACATCCCTGTCTTATCCCCACACCAGACGGACACGTGCCTCGCCACGCTTCCTCGGCAGGGCGTCTCTGCCGCACGAGAGACAGTCTAGAAGCAGGAGCTGTACGAGGCAACCGGCAGCTAACCTCGAAAAGCTCGCCTCGGAAAACAAGAAGAGTGCTGCAAACTGCAGCAATGACTCGAGCGGATCAAAATTTATCTACTCGACACAGCAGCTATAAACAGAGATGGGTAACTGGATGCCAGAGAGAGGGTTTAGGAGAAAAGATAAATGTTGTTGAAGAAATAAAAGGCACCCTCATTAGAGACTGTGATCTCTCCGCTCCTCCAGAATCTCGCGTGACCTGAAATGTTTGACTTTTTCGCTGGTAAAGCATTAATACAGTCCTTATGCTCCTTTAGAAATGTAACAAAGCAGAACAACTTTGTAGACTCTAATAGTAACTTCAACAATTTACTAACACACACAATAAAACTTGCTGCTAATGTGAGCCCTTTCCCAAATGGAGAATGGACAAATTTATATGAAATTTAAGATGCCCATTTTTAATTTGAAAGCAATAAAACTTTGTCAAGATTTTGATGGAAAGGATTATTTTCTCTTGAGAGGAATACTTACGGATATCCCTCTTTCAAAACATCTGAACGTAAGTTTAAAAAAAAGAAAAAGCAATGAGCTGCACCAGAGGTAAGAAATAAAATCCAAGCTAAGATGTTAGGAGTGATACTGTGACAAATGCCCACGGGGATGCTCTCACCTGAGAGCAAATGATAAGGCCACAGCTGATTCAGGGAAGGGATTAGTAGTCAGGGAGGGTTAGAAACTCAGATCTCATCCAGAGATAGATAGTATGGACTACATTCTCTTAACATCAAAGGCATATTTGCTAATTTACTTACTAAGGGGAAATTCTATATGGTAATATGAGAGAGTGATGGCAAATATCCAGTGAGCTTTAAAATGTCCGATGCTTGATTTTTGGCTCAGGTCATGATCTCAGGGTCTTGAGATCCAGCCCTGTGCCAGGCTCTACACTCAGCAGGGAGTCTGCTTGAGGACTGTCTCTCTCCCTCTCCTGCTGCCCCAACCCCCACGCTCATGCTCATGGGTGTGCATGCCCTCTCTCTCTAAACAAAATCTTTAAAAAATTTAAAAACTTAAGAGTTTATAGTGTAGCCTCATTTTAAGAAACACTAAATCCAAAAGAAGGGAAACCCAAATAAAAACCTCAAAATGTTTCACGTAATGCCATTTAAAATGACTACCTAAAGCAAATTTATCAATATTTCTTATGGCAACAAAAGACAGTGATGGCCTTAAAATAAAACATGTATAAATAAATAAAACAAATTATTGACTGCATACTCAACTTTGGAGCAGACACTGACCTCAGAGATAATAATATAATGATACCTGAAATACTTCCAGAGCCCAAGTAGCCTACAATTTAAAATAGAAATTATGCAGTCTTACAGGACCATAACCAAGATAAATAGGGAATACGTAGGTGCGTAGTGGAAGGAGAGATGTATTCAGCCCAATCACGGAGAAAGGAATAAGCAGTCACCCCAAAAGAGCACAGGGAAGGATTACCAACATGGTGAATGGGGAAAGGCTAAGACATGCCAAGGACACCAGAGGGCGTGCACAGGGGACTGCAGTCAAGACAGAGGAGAATCTTGAGTTTGGGAATCTCAAGCCGGTCAGTGAGACTGAACCCTGGAGGGTGAGGCAGGGAGCAACCACATGAAGACATACGGAGAAACTAGAAAAATAAAGCATCTTTGAAAACCAACAGTTAAAAGCAACACTCCAGAGGTCAACAAGAGGGGCAAAGTCACCTCAAAGAAATCAAATGGATCTATTTGACAGACCCTAAAATATTAACATGCGTAAAGAAATGTATCTTGGCGAAAAGGGGATGATCAATCCTATATGGGGGAAAAAAAGAGAGAGAGAGAGAGAGATTCACAGAAACACTTGACTTTGCCCTCCTAAAGACATTGTTCAGGAGAAAGCATGCTCAGCCAAACTCCAAGTATTACTGTCCAACTGGTAAGGCAATCTGTTCTGTGAAGAGAATTTAGCATAAACCCATTAAACTTTCAAATTATAAAAATCAATCATTCATTCATTCAGTAAGTAAATATTTATTAAATCCCTGCTGTGTATGTTCTTCCGTATTCTAAGGATACAGTGGTAGGCGAGAGAGTCGAAAATTCCTGCCATCTTGGAGCTTATGACATGCCAGTGAGGAGAGACGATTAAAATACAAATGAACTCGTTATCTATTTCAATAATGGGAAGTGCTACAGAAGAAAATAAGGCAAATATGGACGATGGGGAATGTGGGGATATGGCGATTTTAGGTAGAAAATCAGGAGTAAAAAGAAAAACTGCGGTACAACTGAAAGGAGCAGGAGAATGGAGACAGAGGGAGAAGCAAACAGCCTTATGCCTCTGATTTGGCTCAGGCACAAAAGCGAGAAGATATTAGATGCTCCAGTCAACGCGGTAACGACATTTCGCACTACTATACCCTGATTTAATCACGGGCCTCTGAGCTTGAGGAGTGCAGGTCTCTGAATCTTCGGTGCTGAAGGCCAGACATTGGTCCCAGACAAATTCACCAAGGCAAATCAAAGTCACCCCAGGCGGCTTTTTGGGAAAAACCAAATGACTTCTTCAGCCTTCCCTGATCTTTGGCAGTAGTGAGAAGGATTAAGCAGAAGGTGATAAAACTAGAGAAAAGATGACCAGTGACGACAGAGCTGGGAGTGTGTGGGGGGAGACGGAGGCACCGCTTAGGGAGAGGAAGAACGATGCTGGAGAAGGAGAAAGGCAAGTTCACCGGCTCCCCACGGGAAACAGCATGAAAGATGCAAAGGACAGAGGAAAACAATATTAAAAAAGAGGGAAGGAAGCCGAAATCAGAAAGAAGCAGGACGGGGCTGCCTGGGTGGCTCAGCTGGTTGAGTGTCTAAGTCTTCACTTCAGCTCAGGTCATGGTCCAGGATCGTGAGTCTGAGCCCCGCGCTGGGCCCAGGGCTCCGCGTACAGTCTGCTTGAGAGTCTCTCCTTCTCCCTCTCTCTCTACTCACCCCACCCAGGCGCGTTCTCTCTCTTAAATAAAATCTTAAAACAAAAAAAAGGGCAAGATAGCTTAAGCCTACGCAAGGCGGTTTGATGAGTGGAGCGACTCCCATGACTTAAAGAAGAGGAGGCCTTTGCCTCATCAGACTTCCAGACTACACTAATATTGATGACAAACTCCATTAACGCAAATAAAACAAAGTACAAACGAGCTCACCAAGAGTCAATAGTAAGGTCAGGAACTTCAGACTAAGATATGAAATTAAGAGTGCTTAATATTCAGTTAACAACGCTTATTTTTAGCTCAAAGCTCATAAGGGCAACATTTTATTTTATTTTATTTTATTTTATTTTTTAATATTTTTATTTATTTATTTGACAGAGAGAGATCACAAGTAGACGGAGAGGCAGGCAGACAGAGAGAGAGAGGGAAGCAGGCTCCCTGCCGAGCAGAGAGCCCGATGAGGGACTCGATCCCAGGACCCTGAGATCATGACCTGAGCCGAAGGCAGCAGCTTAACCCACTGAGCCACCCAGGTGCCCCTATTTTATTATTTTTTTTTAAAGATTGTATTTATTTATATGAAAGAGAGAGCACACAAGCAGGGGGAGGGGCAGAGAGAGAGGGAGAAGCAGGCTCCCCGCTGAGCAGGGTACCCAACACAGGGCTTGATCCTAGGACCCTGAGATCATGACCTAAGCCGAAGGCAGACACTTCACTGACTGAGCCACCCAGGCACTCCAAGGGCAACACTTTAAAACATGAATTTCAGAGAGTTCATAATTAAAACATGGTTAGTATCTCGGGCATTATTTACTGTAATTCTATTGAAAAAACAAAGATGATGCATATATTAATCATTCCAACAACAAAACTCTTTTTAAAAAATATTTTAACCCAAGGGCATGGCTGGAAAATGAAATCCAAGTTTGTTAACAAGAAGATGTCAGAATAATATTAATCAAAGGCCTAAGACCCTGCTGCAAATCAATGTGTAACTTCTACACAGGGAACCTCTAAGAGGGAACTATGTTCATGTGATTTAGAGCTTTTTGATTTTTTCTTTCCCGTGAAAATGTTCAACTGCTTTATTCTGTCCCATGTCCAGAGGGAAAACCTAAATTCACGGAGTATACTGAGTATTTTATGGGTAAGTCTGAGAGACACTTACCCGGTATTGATGGAAATGATTTCTATCAGCGGATTCTTCCTGATCTTTGGCAAATCCAATCGTGCCCCACCCAGGCGCTTTCCATTGTCCTTTTTCTGACCCAGCAGTCTCACAGAGTGACCTCCAATGAAAGCATAAAAATACACGACAGCGTCAGCCACAGAACTTCAATTGACTGCTCTCAACAAATGAGTTAATATTTTCATGTACCTTCTGTTATGAAACAAACAACAAAATATACATAAGATGGAACCATTGACCTAAGAAATACTGCCAAAGGGAAAAACAGCTGTGTGCGCATCCTGCAGTCAAAGTTCTTTGCTTAAAATATTTGCACATTTCAACTGTACAGATGACGGAAACAGAAACATCCTCAGAATGTCATTCCATAAGGTACGCATGCTCTCCAGCGGGGACCAGGTATGTAATGAAGCAGGAAGAGTTTACCTGACCACCAGGCCTGCCAACCAACTCACTGTTGGGGAATTAAAAAAAAAAAAAAAAAAAAAAAAAGTGCAAAAGCAGACTATCTGCTCAAAGCAAACAGCACATCAATCTGCTCAAAGCAAACAGCACATCAAAGAAATAAAAAATTAAAAGGCTGGGATAAGGTGACACTTTAGGGTCAGATTTTTTTAAGACAAAAATTTTTAGACTTATTTTTTAAAACTATTATGAAAGAAAAACAGACTATTTCTAAGAGCCATGAAAAATTTTATAATTTTGAAATTTTGAATTGCAGTGGTAGAAAATACGGGAGAACAGTACTAAGACTTCCCGTCCCCTTCAGATTCTCCAATTATTATTTCTTCCATGCTTACTTTGTCCTTTGCTCATTATATACATAGTATTTTTTTATAACTTCACTGAGGTACATCCTGTAAGATTCACTCCTTGCAAGTATACAACTTAATGATTTTTTTTTTTAAAGACTTATTTATTTGACAGAGAAAGCTCCCACACACAAGCAGGGGGAGCAACAAAGAGAGAGGGAGAAGCAGGCTCTCCTCTGAGCAGGGAGCCTGGCCCAAATCTCAACCTTAGGACCCTCGGATCATAACCTGAGCCAAAGGCAGACACCTAGCCAACTGAGCCACCCAGGTGCCCCCAATTTAATGATTTTAAATTAACACATGCAGTTGTACAATCATCACAACAACCCAATTTTAGAACATTTCCATCACCCTAAGAATTCCCTCAAGCTTATTTACAGTCCACCCTTGCTTCCATTCCAAAATATATCACATTCTGTTCATCTGTTGACCAGCTGGCGGACATCTGGATTGTTTCCAATTAATACCTATTAGAATAATGCTTGCTTCTACGAATATTCACATACTAGTCTTCATGGGGACATACGTTTTCATTTCTCCCGGACAGACTCCCAGGAATGGAACTGCTGGGTCATGTGGTCAATTTCTGTTTAACTTATAAGAAACAACTGTTCTCCAAAGTGGTGGTACCATTTTATATCCTACCAGCAACATATGAGGACTTGAGTTTCCCCACACTGTTAACGAAGTCCTTATAGTTGCAACTTTTTTGACAACAGCCATTCTAGTGAGAAGTAATCCAGTATTGTGGTTGGAATGAACATGCATTTCCATAACGACTAACGATGTTGAGCACCTTTCCACGTGTTTATTAGCCATCTGCATGTCTTGTGTGGTAAAATGTTGGTATGGTTAATTTTTATGTGTCAACTTGACTAAGCCACAGGGTGTCCAGACACTTAACCAAACATTATCTTTTGTGTTTCTGCATGGTGTTTCTGGATAAGGCTGACATTTGAATCAGGAGACTGATTAACACTAGTGGGCCTTATCCAATCAATCCAAGACCTGAATAGAACAAGGAAGCTAAGAGGAAATAACTCCCATCTGACTGCACAGCTGGGTCATTGCTCTTTGCCAGCCTTCAGATTCTGACTGGGATACAGGCTCTTCTTGGTCTTCTTCTTTGAGCTGCAGACTGAAACTTACACCATCAGCTCTACTGATTCTCGGGCCTTTGGACTTGGGCTGGACCTACACATCAGCTCTCACAGAGCGTTGGCTTGCAGACTACGGTCTTTGGAATTCTCAGTCTCCAAAATATTTCCATAATAGCGTGAGCCAATTCCTTATCATACATTTCTCTTCAACAAATCCACCCACCCACACACCCTATTGGCTGTTTCTCTGGAGAACCCTCACTAATAAAAATGTCTACTCCAGGAGTCGGCCAGTATTTTAACTGGAGTAGCTGCCTTGTTATAGAGTTCTAAGAATCCTTTATTCTGCTTACAAAACCTTTGTCAAGTATGTGATTTGTAAATATTTCTCGCAGTCTGAAGCTTACAGTTTCACTTTCATGATAGTATCTTTTTAAAAGTAAATGCTTTTCAATTTAATGAAGTGTACTTTCTCAATTTTTTCTTTTCTAGCTCATGCTTTTGCTATTCTAGCTAAGAACTCCTGGCCTAGCCCAAGGGCACAGATTTCTTCTATACTTTCTTCTCAGTGTCTTACTGTTTTAGGTCTTAGCCTTAGGTCTAGGATCCAATTTGTTACTTTTTGTGTATAAGGGTCTATACCCTTTTGTGTATAAGGGTCTAAGTTCATTTTTTGCATATGGATATTCAGTCGTCCAAATGCCATTTCTTTTCCCTCCTCCCTCTTTGTGCTATTGTTGTCACACATATTAACAGCTGCATAAACCCCCAAAACACAGGGTCATAATTATTGTTCTAAACAACTGTATAGTTTTTGTTGTTGTTGTTGTTTGGGGGAGGGAGCAGAGGGAGAGAGAGAATCCTAAGCAGGCTTCACTCCAGCACAGAGCCCAACACAGAACTTGATCTCATAAGCCTGAGATCATGATCTGAGCCGAAATCAAGAGTCAGGTGTTTAACTGACTGAACCACCCAGGCGCCCCACAACTATATAGTTTTAAAATCTTTACAAAGGACTTAATATTTAACCACATATTTAACCATTTCTAACAATCATTCCCTCCTGCGAATTCAACTTATCATTTGATACTACTTCCTTTCTGCCTGAAGAACTTTCTTTACTATTTCTTGTAAAGGAAATCTACCAGCAACACAGATTCTTTGCTTATTTGAGAGTCTTTATTTTGCTTAATTTGTGAAAGATACTTTTGCTGGATATAGAATTATTAGTTGACAGGTTTTTTTTTTCTCTGAGCACTGAATAGAGCTGATCCTTGAACACTGCAGAGGTGAGCAGGCCCAACCCCCAAACAGCTGAAAATCCACATATAACAAAACTTACCTGCTAATAGCTTACACTGTTTACCAATAACATACTCAGCTGACTAACAAATATTTTATATGTCATATGTATTACACACTTCTTACAATAAAATAAGCTAAACAAAATGTTAAGAAAAGCATGAGGAAAATACACATACAGCACTGGTCTGTAAACAAATCCATGGAGAAGGGGACCACACAGTTCAAAAACCATGTCGTTCAAGGTTCAACTGTCAAAGGTCACTGCCTTTGACTCTGTTGCATCTGATGAGAAGTCAATTATCGATCTTAATGTTGTTCCCCTTGTACATAATGTGTTACTTCTTTCTTATGCTTTCTTGGATCTCTGTGATTTTCCTACCTGCAATTCAGGTAGCTTTTTGGCTCCATAAAGTAATGTTTTTTTTTTTTCTTTTTTCGTTTTGTTTTGTTTTAACAAAGTTTGGGAAGTTTTCATACAATACTTTAAAAAAAAAAAATTGGGGAGGGGCACTTTTTCTGTATCTCCTTCTGTAGCTCCGTGACACACTAACTGGTCTGCTGGATGCTGCCCCACAGGTCTTTGAGTCCCTGCTGATTTTTCTTGTTATTCAGAGTGGATCATTTCTATTTATCTGTCCTCAAATTTACTGATTTTCTTCTGCCATCTCAAACCTGCAATTGAGCCCCTTGAATGAACATTTAATTTACTGTACTTTTCAATTTCCCCTTGGTTCTTTTTTATCCTTTCCATCTTTTTTGTGATTCTGTATTCGTCACTGCCATCATCCTTTCCTTAAAGGCTTTTGACATGATTTTACTTAGCAAAGACTTGGGAGTCTTTGCTAACTCCAACATTTTTGGTCAAAGACAGTCTATACTGACTGGTTTGTTTTTCTTCCTGCATATGGGTGTACTTGCTTTCTCTGCATGTATCGTAATATCTTGTTTAATATAGAACACTGTAGATAATATATTGTGGCAAATTTTAATTCAGACAGCACCCCACCAAGGACTGTTGTTGGTTTTCTTTACTAGCTTACCTAGACTAAATCTATGAAATCTGTCTCTCTACAATGAAAGGTTGTCCTTGCCCCTTCTTAGTTCTCCATATCCACTCCCCTCCACCAAGCATGACTTCTTAGGGTCAACTCTGTATCTGCATAGCTTTTTATTGAGGAAAGAATGATCACACATTTGTTCAAACACCACAAGCCAATGAGATTTCTATCTGCTGATGGAACTGTGTATGAGCCAGTGACGTCACTCAGAGTTAGGGCCATTTTTGAGTCCGCCCCACCTTCCCGGGATGTGCGTGCAGGCTCCAGCAGGCTGGTGAGTGTGGGTGGCTGGGCCCACTCCAGACTCTGCTGTGCGTGTGCACAACCCCCAATCAACTAACCGTCCGTGGAGACTTAGCAAGCCTCCTATCACTGCCTCACCTTCAGGAAGTTCCTGTTCAAATCCTGGCTAGTCCACCTGTCCACTCTTCACGCCAAACAGTCTCCCAGTTTCAAGAAGGTAGATCCACAGACCCTCCCTGTTACTTGCCATCAAAATCTCCACTTTAACGAACAGTTCTTCAAGTCAACTGAGCTGCTTGTTTTTGACGTCCAGCTTTACTGCTGCTCAGGAGGAGATCTGCTGACCTCCACACACAATCATGTAGTAAGCAAATCAAAGCCAACTTTTTCAAAGCAATTATTTAAAATAACTTCAAATACATAATTAGTACAATTATATATATATATATATAATGTATATATATATACATAATAGACAATTATATACATGCTTCATCATCCTTCGTTTCAGAAAGATACATTGCTTCCATGTCTGTCTTACAGATAGCTTTTCATGACCAGAAGTAATAAAACCATCAGTCA